CCTAGCCACAGATTTAAGTGTCCAGGAGATTGAAGAGAAAGTGGATTAAAACCCAATTCTTATAAGACTGAAATCAAGGTACACAGTATTCCATAAAAGTGTCTCGATGACTGTAATTTATCACGGTACTTAATGGCAGCCATTGTTTATCAGTACTTTGTCTATAGATAGTCACGTGGTCACGGAATTCTGGTATCAGAGGTTGGTGGTTTTGGACTACAAGCGTTTGAAAAAGTAGCCAATAATAATAAAAAAACCACTTTGCCATATTAAAATCTCGTGACAAAACAGTGGTAAAATTTAGAAGTAAAGAATCAAGACTCAGAGATTTGTTCCATTCAAAATCAAGGTATATTCAACTTTACGAAATCCGGGAATTTTCCGGATCGACATCTCGAGTTCTATGACCGACTGTTATGGACATGGTGGAGATAATTATGAAAGATAATGTCTACCAGCCACTCGGATACGACAGTTTTCCATGTAGTTGACCCTTTCATCTTGTTTATTTACAGAGTCAACACCAGCAGACTCGGCAACAGCTACTACAACACCAGCAGACCCGTCAACAACGTCTACAACACCAGCAGACCCGTCAACAACGTCTACAACACCAGCAGACCCGTCAACAACGTCTACAACACCAGCAGACCCGTCAACAACGACTACAACACCAGCAGAGCAGCAACCTGGTACGTTATGGCTTTCTCATTCTCAGTTCTATCTTATCAGTTGTATTACCATTACTCTAATATAGACAATATTGCCAGTAGTTTTATTCTCGAAAACTTAAAGGAATTGTAAATAGTTTTTCTTAAAATGTTATGTGTATCGGGGAAACTGATAGCATCAATTTGCAACATTCCAATTTTCAATCAGACATCTGTGGTCCCTGCAATTCCACTAAAACTAAATGTTTAACGTCACTAATCGCGAAGGGTCTCCGGTGGTAAAGCATAATTTGCGATTAGTGACATCACCAAACTCTTCTTTTTTGTGGAATCGCAGGAACTACAGACATCTGATTGGAAATTGGAATTGTGCAAATTGAAGCAATCGGTACACATGAAATAAATAAGAAAACCTCTTAACAATATCTTTAAAATCAATTCTAGTAATTGACCAATCAAATGACTGGAACACAAATCATAAAAAATATAGAAATATAAATGGATTAAAATGATTATGGATGCAAGTTTTAACGATCGTGTGTTTTAACGTTGATATAATAATGGCAAACAGCCGAGGTACTCCAGGTGACCTTCTAATTTGATTAAGGCGTTGCTTATCAACCAATTTCGAGCTTGAAACGAGATCCGTACTACTTTAGGATCAGACATGTTTATCCAGACTCAATTAGGAATAGGTAAAATGTCGTTTTAAGTCCGAGCCTCGATTTGTCTCTATGTTAACATTCATTTTATCTTTTTTCAGTTTTATCCGGTGATTCAATGTTCACGCGAGTTGACGTTTTAGAAAATGTCATCAATATAGACTCGATCAGTGTAGTGAACATTAGATATTGTATTTTACGTTGTCTTCGTCGTCCAGACTGCACCGATATTGTGTACAAACCAAGCACGCCCAATTGTATTTTAACTAAACAAGTTCCAGCAGGGGGTGGGTTTGATTGTAGTGCCAACAACAAATGTTTTACCAAAAATGTATAAATGTATGGTCAAACCAAGATATTTGGAACATCCGGGTACGACGCAAAACATAAACACGGACAGTCCACTAAATTTTCTCAGTGCTACAGTTTGAACAAATCCAGGTAACAAGAAATTCACCTGAACAGCTTTTTGTTGAGTTACAGAGTTATCCACATATCAATCCCTGGAAACACCAGACTTCTTCAACCAATGGAAGTGATCGAAGGGGAATGTGACAGTGGTCTGACTGATTCAAACACTGTGGTTAAATAAAGCTGTAGATATTCCAACATCACATCTGAAATATAGACCAATTAAATTATGATAAGGGTTACGGGACCTGTTCAATTCGTACAAAAACCCATGCGTGATATTATACTCATGAAGGACGTGGCTACTCGTTAAAGGTTAAATTTAAAATCTGAAATATAGACCAATTAAATTATAATGAGTTTGTAAATATGATTTTATTCCAGACCCTATGCTATTAAAATCTATGGTAACCCACATCCGTTATATCGGATAATCGGTATATGCGATTGTAGACAAACCTAACGCTGGCTTTTCATTCTGAAAGGTATCACAGCTAAAATTGAACTATAGTAAGTCAAAAGATTCAATTGTTTATAGGTAAAGGTAAAGAGCCGGTTGTCGTCAATAAGGGTTACGGGACTAGTTCAATTCGTACAAACATCCATGCGTGATATTATGCTCATGAACCACGTGGTTTCTAGGTTAAAGTTATCACAAAGATTCTGATCGAATTCGGATTCAACGAGCATAGCGAACAGGATATTGTTAGTGAATGTAGTTTTTAGTTGTGGTCTGAAGTTTGTGTCAAAACAAAATTTACCTCCCTTTACCCAATAGAGAGCGAAAACATCGATAAAGACTTTTTGATTTTCAAACTTAAAGACGTTACAAATGGCACAAGAAATGCCATCTCCATTATTCTATTTACCGACAGAGGGGTCAACACAAGAACGAAACGCCGTTGAAAGTAATATTTCTATGAACTGTTTCGTTATATTACGTTCGAAACATACAGTAGAAAATTAAAGTATAGTATTTTGTTTGGAGTTGATTTATAGACATTGTGGTGGGACAGTAATGCCATAAACTTACATTCTACTGCTAAATTTGACACTGGTAAACAGATTTTGAGCATGCGAGAAACTAAGTCTTGCCTCTTTATTGCAGTCGACCCAGCTGTAAATGGGTATTGAATAAATCATCTTTCATCATTATTCCAGTCGATCTAACTGTAAATGGTTGCTGTACACAACAGTCGGCGTCTACCCAGCAGTATATCTGTCCTGACAATTAAAGAAAGATCACCAGGTCTTTATGCGCAGTCTCTGATTGATTAGGTCTAATATTCCAATATTGATATCACATTCTTGTATTTGATTTTTTACAGGAATATTGAATTTGTCTGAAATTGATCAAAATGTTACTCAAAAAACGTTTTTAATGAAAATTGTACTTTTCGGCCCTGAATAATTTTTTATACTGTTTACTCTGATATTTATTCATAGACTGACACACGTGGGTTTGAATTTTGTGGCATCTGACATCCTCAGGGGTCGGTTTTTTATTTATTTTTATATGACTGGAATGACTACTGGTCTGTGATCGCAAGGGTTAGATATTGAACAACTACTAGCGACCTTTTAAAACTCAAGATATAGTTATTTCCGATATGTGGAAGTCATTGGTCAAAAGTCATTTAGGGTTTATTGGAATTTGTTTGTTTAATTCTATTTCAGCTATCTGTAACACCTTTCACAACAAAATCATACGCCCAGTTCGTCTACAATTAACAAACGACGATTACACCCGATTAAATGTGAAATTAGTAACGATTCACGCTATCAGTAATAACTTGATTTTATGAATATATTCCAGACCGATATTGGTTTTATTGTCTAATACTATAACAAAGACGCCAGTTCAAAAAGAGGAATTCCGACCCACTTAGAGACATGATTTCTGAGTACCAGTTAATGAATTTTAGTCGGAGATTAATATATGAGATTATCGACAGTATTATTAAGAGTGTATTTTATATTATTTTGTACTAGAGTGTAAATCAGTAACAAATAACACCACCAGTAGTCACAGTGGGGAAACATCATTTAAGGGGGCCAATCAGGGGCAATAAAATTTTCCAAGGGGGGCATAGACCAATTTTACACTACAAAAAATAATAAAAAAGCCCATCCAGCGTTTTTTCTGGAAGCGCCATTGAGTGGTCGTCAAAAAACGCTATACGCCCACACAACACTAATTCATGTACCTTTTGACATATATATCCAAATAAAGGGTAATGACTCAAAAACCATTCGTGATAATCGTGCTCATTCGAGTCTATCAATCACAGGCAAAAAAAACTATGTATTGCGTTCACAGGAGAAAAACGTATTTCCAAAGGTTTTTCGATGATAAGACTGATCTGACGAACGATACGATGAACGGTATCCGAGTGTACCGAAATGTTAGTCACTACTCTTTTCCAACAGGCGATTATGAGAAGGATTCTACAAGATGTATCGGTATTCCACTGTTTTTATTGACAAGAAAGAAGAAGACAAAAATATCGAAGTGGCTACTATAAAACTTTCCGACAAACTAGGACACACTGAATCACAAAGTGGCAGAAGATGGAGATAACTTTAAACAGTTTTATGATTTGATATCGATGTGACATGGTTAAAGTCAATAGTGTTTAATTGATCGCGTTAATCAATAGACTGAAATAATACCTTTCATTAAGATACATTGTTACCAGATTGTACTCACTGGACCAATCATATAAACAATGTGGTTAACATATACTCAGGAACGTTAATAACTACATCAACCATTCCAACTACAAACCACTACCTAGTTTGTGATATCCGCATCCGCTGGAAGCGAACGTAACTCTCTCATCTACTAACAACTTTTTTAGTTCGAGATATCAGCATCCGCTCGGAGCGAACGTAAAGCTGTCATCTACCAACAACTACCTAGTTTGCGATATCAGCATATGCTTGAAGCGAACGCCCCTCTCTCATCTACCAACCGACCAACAAACCTCTTTGGAGGAGTCCACTGCTGTACACACTAGCGATTTTGCCATTCCTTCGGCGTAGTTTTTGATTGACGGAATTGACTTACTTGTACGGATTTTCATAATCTCAACGCTTGGTACAGGTTGGTCGGAGCAGTGCTGAAAACTCTAAAAGATTTGTACCATTCCCGACTCTCAGGAAATTGTGCCGAGAATATAAAAGTTAAGTAAGAACATTAAAAGGTTTGTAATAATGAGAAACGTTGAACAGTTCATGCTGACAACATAATGACTTGATATTTGTACGTTTGATCAATCTATAGACATTTTGTTAATGGTGAGGTCCCATCATGTCTGTCGCTGACTGTACTTTGACGAAATTATGCAGATGAAGTTGTTAACATACGGATAAGGAGTAGATCTACAGTGTTCTCTGATTAGGAAATTGTAGCTAATCTGAATAAAAGGGAGTTGGAAATTCCATCCTGAAGGAGAATCTGTAAAACATTAAAACTTTAATCTTGTCGGTGATCAGCATCTTGTTTGGATTTATATATTACTGTGAAATTGAGATCTGAAAAATCTTTGGCAGAAAAAACACGAAAACCCTAAAGATTTTGGTATCGTTTTGGTGACGAGTCACCACGATCTTGCCTGTCGTTCACAAACTAGTCTGTATCAAGAAGAGACACGAAGGTTAAAAACTCTCTCTGAACGATTTAAAGGTTTGTAAATATTATTTTTATCAACCCTAACTAACAGATTATTTCACCAGTTTAACGAATTAGAAATACCATTATCGTTTATTTTTCTAAGAAGGCAAAAATTATTTTCTCAAAATGTCAAATTAGTAAGTCAATATTCCTTTCAAATGCATTTTTTTCAAAATTCCTTCTAAAATGCATGGAAAAACTATATTAATAGAATAAAGAATCGTTCAGTTCAGGTTTTCGAAATTTTTCTTGTGTACCAGGGACACTCATAGAATCGATTGGCGTCATTTCAATTTTCATTCTGACGTCTGTGGTTCTTATAATTACGCTAGAACTTATGACGTCATTATCCCAAAATCTTTTAATGATATGTTAGGAAAATTTGTCATAAACAGTTGGTTTTAGTGGAATTGCTGGAACCGCGGACGTCTGATTTAAATTGGAACGGTGAAAATCGATTCTAAAAGTGTCCCCGATACAAGTAAAACATCTTTAAGGCCCTCTAGGAACGACGTGTGTGAACACAGAGCACTATCAATACTTTGTGCATCTGTTTTATTATAACAATGTTGGTTTTGATTTAACTCTGTATTTGGTTGTGTATGTCGACTTTATCTTTGGAATTTTTTTTAGCTTATGATTTCTAAATGGTGTCTTGCGCTCTGGTCCAACTTTTGATTTCATTATTGAATGGAGCTCAAGGCAGATATGAATAATAGTTTTGAAAGGTATGCGTCCATCTTGTGATTTATGGATATATCGGCTATCTTCTATAGGTGTTTATATAAACCTACTCAACGTACCATGATTTTTATATTTACAGCTCAACATTACTTTTTATATATTGATGGAAATTTAAAAGTCAGAAATACAGAAAATGTTATTTCTCATATTTATAGTCTTTAGCTTGGATTTTAATGCAGTTGTTGTCGAAGGTAAGGTCATTTTTTCCTCCTGAGTTGAAGAGTATTTTCCGATTTCTGGTAAGGGTCTGTAAGAAAGAGCTTGAGATAGCTACCACCATAAGAATAAAAATCTTTACCTTATGGTTTAACACAGTCCTTCCTTTTTGTGCAGCTATATTGTCGAAAAAGCCCATCCCATGTCGACAATAATATTATAAAGTCGACAACATTTCATCTAATGACGTCGACGACGGCAACAGCTAATCTTATAATATCGACAGTATTTCATCCTATGACGTCGACAAAAATCCATTTAGTGACGTTGATATCGGCAACAACTAATCTTTTATTGACAAAATTCCTTCTTATGACGTCGACAAAACTAATCTCATAACTTTGATAACGATCCAACAGCTATTTTATTAACAACATTCCATCTTATAATGTCGACAACGTTTCATTTTATAATGTCGACAACGTTTCATCTTATCATGTCGACAACGTTTCATCTTATAATGTCGACAACGTTTCATCTTATAATGTCGACAACGGTTCATCTTATAATGTCGACAACGTTTCCTCTTATAATGTCGACAACGTTTCATCTTATAATGTCGACAACGGTTCATCTTATAATGTCGACAACGTTTCCTCTTATAATGTCGACAACGTTTCATCTTATAATGTCGACAACGTTTCATATTATAATGTCGACAACAATCCATTTAATCATACAGACAACAGCTGATTTCAAACGGTAATCTAATAATGCCGACATCAGCTAATTCTATAATGCTGACAACATCATTTTATGACCATTGATATTATATCGACAACAGCTAATCTTATACCATCGACAACAGATAACCTAATGATACTGACATCAACCCGTTTTATAATGCTGACAACAGACTATCTGATAGTGTCGACAACAGATAACCTAATGATACTGACATCAACCCGTTTTATAATGCTTACAACAGACTATCTGACAGTGTCGACAACAGATAACCTAATGTTACTGACATCAACCCATTTTATAATGCTTACAACAGACTATCTGATAGTGTCGACAACAGATAACCTAATGATACTGACATCAACCCATTCTATAATGCTTACAACAGACTATCTGATAGTGTCGACAACAGATAACCTAATGTTACTGACATCAACCCATTTTATAATGCTTACAACAGACTATCTGATAGTGTCGACAACAGATAACCTAATGATACTGACATCAACCCATTTTATAATGCTTACAACAGACTACCTGATAGTGTCGACAACAGATAACCTAATGATACTGACATCAACCCATTTTATAATGCTTACAACAGACTATCTGATAGTGTCGACAACAGATAACCTAATGATACTGACATCAACCCATTTTATAATGCTTACAACAGACTATCTGATAGTGTCGACAACAGATAACCTACTGTTACTGACATCAACCCATTTTATAATGCTTACAACAGACTATCTGATAGTGTCGACAACAGATAACCTAATGATACTGACATCAACCCATTTTATAATGCTTACAACAGACTACCTGATAGTGTCGACAACAGATAACCTAATGTTACTGACATCAACCCATTTTATAATGCTTACAACAGACTATCTGATAGTGTCGACAACAGATAACCTAATGATACTGACATCAACCCATTCTATAATGCTTACAACAGACTATCTGATAGTGTCGACAACAGATAACCTAATGATACTGACATCAACCCATTTTATAATGCTTACAACAGACTATCTGATAGTGTCGACAACAGATAACCTAATGATACTGACATCATATTATCTTTTAATGTCGGTAGCAGCTAACCTAACATTGTCCACAACAAAATGTATAATGCTGACAACAGTTCCAATTTTCATGTCGACAACAATTTATCTTCAAATGTTAACAACATCTACTCTCGTAATGTTGACAACAACTAATCTATTAATGTCGACAACAGCTAATCATACGCCCACATGGAAATGTGGACGTATATTGCCGTCGACCCTGTCCGTCCGCACGTCGGTCCGTCCACATTTGTTGTATGCACGATAGAGGCTACAGTTTTGATTTGATCTTGGTATTCATGTAGATATTGATGAAATCTCGGTCAAGTATGAAATTGGTGATAATCGGATGAACGGTTTCAGAGTTATTGTCCTTGACTTAATAAAAACTCGTTAATTTGGCATGTAGGCACGATAGAGACTACAGTTTTTATCCGATCTTCATGAAACTTGTTATGCAAGTATGCATTGATGAGATCTCAGTCAAGTTCGAAATTGGTAATAATCAGATGTACGGTTTCACAGATATTTCCCTTGACTTCGTAAAAAAGTCAAATTTGGCATGTAGGCACGATAGAGACTACAGTTTTTATCTGATCCTGATGAAACTAGATATTCATATATATATTGATGAGATCTTGATCAAGTTGGAAATTGGTAATAGTCGATGATGAACAGTTCATAACAGTTATTGCCCTTGTGTGTACAGCGATGAGACATTGTTCATGTTTGAATTCAGGTTTTTGCCTTAACTTAAAGGTGATTTTAAGATTATTTGAAAATTCATTATTTAGCCACTAAAGATTTTGTTATCATGTCTGACAGCTGGTAGTGGGCGTATGTTACCTTGCCTGGCAAGCTATCTTCTATTATCATTAATGTCATCAACAGCTTATCTCATAATATCGACAACATCTAATCCATTAATGTCGGCAACATCTAATCCATTAATGTCGACAACATCTAATCCATTAATGTCGGCAACATCTAATCCATTAATGTCGACAACATCTAATCCATTAATGTCGGCAACATCTAATCCATTAATGTCGACAACATCTAATCCATTAATGTCGGCAACATCTAATCCATTAATGTCGACAACATCTAATCCATTAATGTCGACAACATCTAATCCATTAATGTCGACAACATCTAATCCATTAATGTCGACAACATCTAATCCATTAATGTCGACAACATCTAATCTTATAATGTCGACAACATCTAATCCATTAATGTCGACAACAGCTAATCTTATAATGTCGACAACAGCTTATCTATTAATGTCGACAACAGCTAATCTTATAATGCTGATAGTTCATCTACAATGCCGACTATAGTATAACCTGCGAATAATTTGTAAGAATTAGGTATTTCTTTATTGCAGGTGCGTGTACGAAGTTTTCGTATGAACAGACTTGGCGAGGGCGGTGATGGTAGAAGGCAGATGTGTGTATGGATTTAGAAACAGTAAACAGTTCGATACAGCCAAAGCTGTCTGTGACTCACAAGGAACCCAACTGATAGTTCTGATGACTAAAGCTAAGCAGAAAGCAGCGTGGAATGCTTTAGGTAAGTTATCACCTATTTGAGGAAATTGATTTAATCCTTTTATCCAATATATCCAATAATCTATCAATCAGTTAGCTGGTATAAGATTCAAACTGAACCACGGCATCAACCATTCAACCGGAAGTAATGTATGACGCGAGTTATATTATGAATTGTTAAAATATATACAACGGAATAAAAAATATTTTAGGAATATTCGGTAAAATCAATATTATTGAAAATAAAGCAGTAAGGCGTTAATTGCAAGTCTATTCAGTGGCAGAATAATCAAGTAAGATGTAAAACTCCAGGCTTTGTTATTTCTGAAAAAAACGTTTAATTAATCGTGTACTGTAAATCGATTTTGATGAAACTAAGATCTAATGGGAAATATTGATAAAGCTTATCAGACGAGATATCTTTTATTTACTTCATTTAATGTCGGATTCTGGTTATTTTAACTTAGTCGATAAAGAAATCAAAAATTCTGTATTAATACGAAGAAATCTTTAGAATATTGACATCGTTAACACGCCTTGAACAAATTCCCATCCTGCTTCTATGACTAATAAACATTTTACATGTTTAGTCCACGTTTTAAGTTCGTGTCAAGGTAGGTTGGAGATGAATCATTGAGCGGAATTGAATGAATATTCACATTGTCAATTATTACAAACTGTATCTAATATCTTGACTGCAATAGCTACCTTTCTTGTATCACGGAAGTTTGTAAATGTAGCGATTTGATTGGATTGAACCCCAGTAATAAAATTCCATACAAGCAAGACAATTCCATTTATCAAAATCTCGTGCAAAGCATGGCAAAATCAAGAGTAAAAATATTATAGTAGTGGACTCCTCCAAAGAGAAGTACCATCAGGTGTTTCGAAAAGAGTAAGCATAGTTTGCTACGCGCGCGACACCCGCCACTACTATCTAGGTCAACATCACGAGATACAATCAGATCAATATGCCTGAACAAAAAATTCAGTTAAGATAAGAAAGTTAAGAAACAGGATTGCGCTATAACGACCATAAAATTTCATAATTTAATTCTGAAATCTGTGTGTCAAGTAACCCCTGCTTAAGCAATTTTAAAGTTTTCCTTTTCATTCTCTCTATTTCATCATTATGTATTTGGTATATACTTTGTAAATTGGTGCATATTGTCAAACTAACGCTTTAGTCTTACTGGAAAGGTTCTCCAGGACCATATCTCGGTAATGAGTTAAAACGATTACTATTAAGTTTCTACCAGCTAGTGGTTGACCAAACATCTTGAGTTTAATCTTTCTGGGGTTATACGTAAGAAGGTTTAAATTGACTGTAAAGAGTTTTTGTTATGTGTATCAGTGACACAATGTCATTTTATGACGTCACTATCTCAAAGATCCGTCATTAACAGCTTTTGCGATAGTGAATTCAGAGGAATTGCAAGAACCACAGATGTCTGATTGAAAATTGGAACGGTGCAAATCAGTGTGCCCGATATACATAACAAGTTTAGGAAACATCTTTACCACCCCTCTAATGTGTATTAAGACGAGTCTCAATGAAAGCACTGTCATAGGCCATGGAGAAATAGATAACCTTTTTAATTATGTGAAACTTGGTATTTATACTTATTAGTCATTAGTATTATTTTAGTTGAAAAGGATGCTATAGGTATTAGAGACCTTCCGTCTAGACTGTACCTAACTAAAACTGGGTTAGATTGGCTTTAAGAAGATGAAGTTGAATCGATGCTGTGGTAAGTCGTAGGCTTACAAGTGCCGAAAGGGATGAACCTTACTGAACTTCTGTGTTAAATACACCATAAAGTTAAAATCGTAATGCTTTTCATTTCAGGCTCCGATTTCAGTCAACATTGGATGGGACTAAAAAAGAAAGACAACATTTGGCAATGGCAAGACTCTGGTTCATGGATACAAATGACGTCACCAAGATGGGAGAATCAAGATGGGGGTGACTGTGGCCACACAATGTCGTCTGATAACAGGTTTTTATGGAAAATGGTGCCGTCACAATCTTGGTACCGGCCAGTATGTGAAGAATTGACAGGTTTGTGGACTATTTACTGTAGACCAAACCAAGATATAGAAAGTCACTAAGCTATTAAAACTCATGTTCTTTTAGCAACGGTACGGTGAAAATGGTCATCTAGCCGTTGCTCTCACAATCCCATATTCTCGTCATTAATTTTGATTGGTAGAGTTTACTTCTCTACCAATTATATTCCTCCAAACGACATTTGCGGGAAGATGTTTGAATAACCAGACGCAAAATTTGAAGTACCAAATTTATTTTCTTTTAAATCTCAAAGTTCATGGTTGAGTTGTTGTTATAGTGCCAAACAGGTTTGATAGTTTAAAATAGAATAGAATAAAAAAATCAAAAAATTTTACGCCTCCTCGAATAATATTCACATTTATTCCAATTGACCTGAGAATCAATGACTCAACAAAGCAAGTACGACTACACAAATGAGTTAAGCCCCCTCTCATTTCGTCGTTACCTGGAAAAATCCCACCTGAAAACTTTGAAATTTAATTCATAATGGAAGGAAGCGTTAGAACTTTCTGAAATTTGTACCTTCTGAATATGTGAATAATCATCATAACGTTGCTAAAGGAACATTGTAAAAGTAAACTTTCTTCAATAAATCCATTTACCACAAATCTATTTACACTTTACATGTAAGTAGGCAATGTTGATCTCCATAGTTTCACGCTTTGCGACCTATTTCAGGCTGCATTCTTAGTCTAACTTCAGTTTGACATCTTTTTATTTTTGTTAGGCTCTGTACAATTGATGTATTGGGAACTATTTTAACAGTGGTATTTCTATATCACTCTACAATTGACGTATTGGGAACTATTTTAACAGTGGTATTTCTATATATCTCTACAGTCGATGTATTGAACACTATTTTAACAGTAGTATTTCTATATCACTCTACAATTGACGTATTGGGAACTATTTTAACAGTGGTATTTCTATATCACTCTACAGTCGATGTATTGAACACTATTTTAACAGTAGTATTTCTATATCACTCTACAATTGACGTATTGGGAACTATTTTAACAGTGGTATTTCTATATCACTCTACAGTCGATGTATTGAACACTATTTTAACAGTAGTATTTCTATATCACTCTACAATTGATGTATTGAGCACTATTTTAACAGTGGTATTTCTATATCACTCTACAATTGATGTATTGAGCACTATTTTAACAGTGGTATTTCTATATCACTCTACAATTGATGTAATGAGCACTATTTTAACAGTGGTATTTCTATATCACTCTACAATTGATGTATTGGGAACTATTTTAACAGTGGTATTTCTATATCACTCTATAATTGATGTATTGAGCATTATTTAACAGTGGTATTTCTATATCACTCTACAATTGATGTATTGAACACTATTTTAACAGTGGTATTTCTATATCGCTCTATTATTGATGTATTGAACACTATTTTAACAGTGGTATTTCTATATCACTCTATAATTGATGTATTGGGAACTATTTTAACAGTGGTATTTCTATATCGCTCTATTATTGATGTATTGAACACTATTTTAACAGTGGTATTTCTATATCACTCTACAATTGATGTATTGGGAACTATTTTAACAGTGGTATTTCTATATCGCTCTACAATTGATGTATTGAACACTATTTTAACAGTGGTATTTCTATATCACTCTACAATTGATGTATTGGGAACTATTTTAACAGTGGTATTTCTATATCGCTCTATTATTGATGTATTGAGCACTATTTTAACAGTTGTATTTCTATATCGCTCTACAATTGATGTATTGAGAACTATTTTAACAGTAGTATTTCTATATCACTCTACAATTGATGTATTGAGCACTATTTTAACAGTGGTATTTCTATATCGCTCTATTATTGATGTATTGAACACTATTTTAACAGTGGTATTTCTATATCGCTCTATTATTGATGTATTGAACACTATTTTAACAGTGGTATTTCTATATCACTCTACAATTGATGTATTGAGAACTATTTTAACAGTAGTATTTCTATGTCGCTCTACAATTGATGTATTGAGCACTATTTTAACACTAGTATTTCTATATCGCTCTACAATTGATGTATTGAG